TTACTGATACAGGTCCTACAAATGAACCCATAGCTGGGGGGGAAGAGATGGATTCATCCCTTTTTCAATGCTTAAGTGAATATAATAAACCCAACTGGAATTGGAACTCTGCTGTCCAATTTCCAATTCTGAGCAGTTATCCATTATACCACCTGCACATCCAACCTTACAGTATTCCAAAGCAGTCACCTATCTAATTACTAACCAGATTTCATGTTGCTTAACTTTTGTGATCATATAAGAACTAGTGTTACAACATATGGCCATAAGCCATGACAATATATATATATATATATAAAATAAAAAAATATTTCCTTGAAGTATTTGCCTTTTCAAAATTATGTCTGCCTACTGCTCAACATCTTTTTGGTGACCTACAGTGCATATGCCACATGTTTTGAAGACCCCTACAAATTCAGAGAGAGATAATCATCCATTGTTCTTGTTTCTTGTGGCAAAAACGTACAATAGTTTTAAAGCTCAATTGTTTGTCTTCAATTTAAATTTAAACCACCAATAAAGGCAAACAAAGCAACATCTTTTTCCAAGAGTATTTCTTTCATCTTAATTTCTGTTGCTTTTTATTGCAATTCTTAGAATATTGTTGTACAAACAGTAAGCATTGAATAGAAAGAAAAAAAATCTTTTTAAAAAAAAAACCTCTGCAGAAATGTTATTTATTGTTGAGTTCCACTGCTTTTATTTAATGACTGAAATAACAACCTGAGAATTACAATAAAATTTAGGGGAAATTAGAAGAAATACTCACAAAAATGTCATAATTGACAATGCTTCATCTAAGAAGCAAATATTGTGGTCTATACTTGTTCTTGTTGACAGTGATCTAAATATTTTTTTGAAATTTTTTTTTTTTTTTAGAATAAATTTTAACTGATCAGTATTCATTTTGGAAAGTCAAACAATTTCCATCTCAATTTTGGGTAATTGCTCCTTTTGCATAGCTGAATGCTTTTGTATCAAAGCTCAGAAATTTACTAAAATGACAAAAGTAACACAAATGTGAAAACTAGCATTTACCGCAATGTGGCGGGATGACAAAATAGAGAAATGTAGTGAAATGAATTTATTTCAAATCCAATCAACCTGAACAAACCATTCTATAAAAGAGTAGATAATAAAATACTAAAACTAAGTTGTGTTACTACATTGCAAGTCATGAAAATGAGATATAAGAATTCTTAAGGAGTTGGCAGCACTGCACTAAGATATACAAAGGCATCTGAAAAGTTAGTAATCACCCATTTTTTATATGTGGGTGTGTGTGTGTGTACATTATATATATATATGCACACACACACACATACATACATACATAGTGTGCGATGGGTAAATTGTTGCCATTTTATATTTATAATTTTGTGCATGTGTGTTGTTTGTTTTTGTCAACCGTGTGGTATAGTAGGGTCAATTGGGTACTGTCTGTGAGAAAAAGAGTACCATAACATAAATCACCCTGCCAGAAATTTGGAAACGGCATGCTGTACTGCTTGGCATTCATGCCAGAAGCTTCAATACAAACATTGGAGAGTGTTTGGGTGTCAATCTGAGGACAGTGCAGAGGTTTCAGAAAGAGTTGGTGATTATGAAGGTACGGCAGATCAGAAAACTCAATCTCATCGTTCAGATAAGAAAAGAACTCCCAAATTTGTTGGTGAGATCCAAGTCATGATTGAAAATAATCCCTTCAAGTCAATCAGATCCACAATCAGGGACATAGGAGTGTCTGAAGACATTCAGTATTTCTCATAAAGATGAGAAAGGGACAGTTTTTATACTAAGCCATGAAGAACAAGAGGAAAGACTACGCTACGAAGTTTTTGAAGAAACTCAAGCATCTCCTCCAACTGAACATGCCTTGGTTTTTTTCTCAGACAAGAATAAATTTGTGTCAAGATAAGATGGTGACTCTGCACCATGCCACACAAGCAGGAGAACCCAATCATGGCTGTCAGACAATTTCTGTGACCACATTACCCCTTACATCTAGCCACCTAACTCCCCAGATTGCAACCCCCTTGATTATTATGTGTGGGGCGCAGTTGAGCAAGAGACCAACAAAACTCCTTGTAGCACCAAAGATAAACTGAAGGCAAGGATTATGGCAGCATTCACCAACTTAAACAATGAGACTGCCCAGAAGAGTTACAGGAGATTTCAAAGTCATCTGGAGGCCATGGTTGAAGCCAATGGTGATTTTAGTATTTAAAGATTATTGTGTAATTTTGGTAGAATGTTAAAATGAGATGTCAGTATTATTTTCATTTTTGCATAATTTAGACAATTTATCCATCACACCCAGTGTTTGTGTGTGTATGTGTGAAAAAAGATTTTTTTTTTTTTTTGGGTTTTCCTTAAAGGAAAGACAACTTCAATAAGAAAATATATTAATATGAGAAAATTGCAAAAAGGCCCTTGTCTTAACTTATAAAAGATTGGAGGGTTTGAAATGTTTCCCTAGGTAAAGATTTTACATTGTGAGAGATAAAATCATGTATTATCTGTAAAACCAATGCTATTTAATGATGTGAAGGAGAACAAGATTAATTTATTCTCTTTGCTATGTATAAAATATTTCTGAAATTTTCAATAATGTTAATTAAAAAAGTATTGGCTAACAAAAAAAAAAAAAAAAAAAAAAGTAGCTTGCTCTCTCAGAATATAGAAATATGCGAAGTTAACAATATTTGGCAAACAAAATGTTTGATTTTATCAAAATTTGTAAAAGGCATTTGAAATATAACTTGTATAAAAGAACACTTGAGAAAGTTCAAAGAGCCTTTTTTGCAATATGTCTATATTCAAACATTGACCCATTTCTATAGCAAACAATGTTTTAATAGCAAAAAAAAAAACAAAAAAAAAAATTACACCTGCCTATGAATATTACCAATAAAAATAGATGAAAGGAGTAAGGCCCTTTTTGCAATACAGGAAGCATTTTATACCAATACTTCCAGAACTTGATCAGAAATGAAAATCATTTTTTTTTTTAATTTTTTAATTTTTTTTTTAAAGATGAGAATACAGACAGCACTAAATACAAACAAAGCAAGCACATGTGACGATATGACACCACTCAATTCACTAGCAAACACACACACACAAAAATAAAGAGAGACACCACAGGTGAACAAGTGCACTGCTTTTAAAAACGATGGCTGTAGCAGCAACACGATTCCAGAAAGCCAAACCTTTAGCTGAATTATGACCAGTTAAAACTAGGGAACCACAAACAAAAAGCCTGCCATTTGAATACACATTACAGTCCATTTAAATAATAGCCTATCCAACTCTTTCAAAGCCCAGAGCAACAAGAAGTGCCAACAGATTTACTTGCTATTCAAATTGTTTTTTGTATTTTGAAAGATTTTGGTTATTTGTTAACCTTTAGCACTCTGTAAATGACTATTTTCACCAAGCAAAATGTTAGTCCTGCCAATGCAAGTTGAATTTGAGTTTCTTGGTTGTGTCGTCATATCCTTCTATGGCAACACCTAAAACAATCTTGACTGAAATTGAGAGCCAGGCTACTGCAATTTCAAATATATAGAACTAATATATAAAACACTATATTTTGAGGGGATTCCATATACAGTAAAATGGAAAGCAATGTTTATAAATGATGCAGAGTGCAAAATGTTAAAGATAGTGAACATTATTTTGATAGTTTGTTGAAAAACATTTCACAATTTTCTTGTTTTAAAGAAATGGAATTTCTTCTTGTTCTGGGCTTCCAAAAGAAAAGAAAAGAAGAAAAAAAAAACTAAGTCCTTAAAATTTTTAATATTTATATCAATATTTAAATGTTTATTTAATTTAAATCTTTGTTTTTTGGTAATGTTAAACTTTTCAAGTGATTTATGTTGTTTAAAAAAAAAATAATAAATAAATAAAAAAGCAGCTTTATTACAAAAATTGAATAGAAAACTTGGCAGATTCAAATGTAAGCATATTTTTAAAATTCTGATTTTGCTGAAGGAGGACCTTTACAAGTTGAATGGTAAAATATGATTAAGTATTTTTTACCAATTCTGAAAATTTTGCTAAATGTTGGCTCTGTGTCAGCAACTATTTCCATGTGACATTTTTTCTATACAAATACATGAGTTGTTGAACTCCTATGAGTCTTTTAATAAACTAAAAGCATATTGTAACTCTTCTAAATTTCGAATAGGCATGGGATCAAAAGTGTGATAGTAATAGTAATTTAAATCTGCATTGCAAACATAAAACCCTGGTTATTGAGAAAGGTTAAGTTTTAAGACAAAATAAAAAAATTGAACCTATTTTAACTCCAGATGTAAACACACATACACACACAATTTTAGATGTTATTTTTTATCAACCACACATGAATGAAGTATGAATAATTTGACTGGATTAATGAAAGTGTTAATTTATTAAAATGGGGCCTTGAAGTTGCTAAAAATTAAGAAAAGAAAAGAAGAAGAAAAAAAAAAAGACACATTTTTACTGTTTCCTTTGCACGATTTGAGCTGAAAAAGTTTTTAATTTCCTTCTTAATAAACTTAAAAGCGAAAAACCAAATATTAACCATCTTTTAATATAAATATTTTATTAACTTACAGAACATTATTAACTTACAGAGAAATTATAGCCTGTGTTTAATTTGGGTAATAGCCTGCAAGCATTTTGGTAATTAATACATTTTGTTGGTTGCTTTTTTCCATGCTTAGAATATGGTTTTATGTAACTGTAAAATTCCTTGAGTTTTATTCCCTAAATTATAAAACTTCAAAAACAAAAAATTATATTTTTTAAAAATTAGATAATGACTAGTTTATTTTCTGATAATCTCCCTTGACCCTCACTTAATAGAATATTTGTAAATTTAGATCAATGAGTTTATTCTACTTAATGATCAAGTGATTATATATGTATAAACCTAGCAAAGTATTTAATTTCAAAAATTCTAATTTGTTTTTAAGACTTAGGAAATAAAAGGATAAAAAAAATAATCAGACAATCAATAAAAAGGAAAGAAAGAAAAAAAAAGAAGAGAAAAGACTGACACAGCAACAGCTTGTAAAGAGACATAGAAAAATGGTACCAACATTGGTCTTGTTAGAAGTAAGTGATTCTTTCCACATATGGTAGAATACGTCAAAAGCGCCACCAGTGAATCGGGAGGGGGCGCCCTGAAATAACAATGCAGACAGTATAGAAAAATGGCCTAGAAAGAGTCACTTCTCATATTGATTTCAATAATCAGAAAGGAAAACATTCCCTTCGTTCTGGTTATCTTCAACTTAACATTAATACATCAATGAATACAAGACGAAACGGAAGGATTCTGAAATGAAGGAATACCAAACAAGGAATCGGAGTGATTTTGGAAAAGGATCCTTTCCCAACAGCCATTTTCCCCATGGCTAATATTCACCAACTAGAAAACAAAACTCGGCTGTCATGGTTGTTTAATAGTTACTCTCAATCGTATAATTTTTTTTTTTTTTTTTTTTCAATCTACAAGATGCAGTAAAGATTAACCAGTATCCTGGTTAAACTGATACCGACTTATCCGACTATTATGACAATTTGGCTTAAAGTTCATATTCTATAGATTTCAAATGAAAACTTGGAAATTTTCTGACATGTTTCAGTGAAATTTTTATTTTCCAAAACTAGATATATGGAAGAAAAAGGTGTCACTTTAAACTGACACCAGTAGAACATGTTAAATATTCATAATTATATAAGCAAAAGAATAAGATGTTTGGATCAATGATTGGAGTCACATTTAACTGTTGGAAACAGGAATTATTAACCAATAAGCAACAAAATGCCAAAGATCATTTTTTTTTTGTAGGCTAGTTGGTAACCAAATGGATATTGGGGAAAAATAAATTTCACAGGATTTTTTTTTTTTCTCTCAAAAAGGATCAATCTTATTTCATGCAAGGTTATGTTTGCAGGTTATGTTCTAAAATAAAGAGAAACAGATCAGAAATGTGTGAAAATATATTATCTCAATTATTAAAAAAAAAAAAAAAAAAAAATCACCCTGTACAAGAAATGAAAAATCAATGACAGAAAAATACCATAGATAAAAATGGAAAAAATATAATCCATGTATCCAAGTGATCACATTAAAAATTACAGAGAATCCTTTAAATTTTTATCTAAATCAACCTGGCAAAATTAAATTTCTGTCACTGTTCAAAAGATATATAAATTATTCCATTTAAATTATACCTTTAAGTGCAATTTGGATACAATGGGTTAACTCTCAAAATAATGTATAAATATGGCATGATCATTGAAAAAGGCAAAACTAGTATTTGAAAAAATATTCTCTCAAAATTGGTGATAAAATAATTCAGGAATTTTTGTAGAGCCTGAAGCAAATGTCCAATCATGGCAATAACTATAGAATCAGAATTTCATCAAAAAATGTAAATGACAATTATATACTGCTAAAAATAGAAAAAAACATATCAACCAACATTTTTGTCAGTTACCAAATGCTTTACCCAATTTTTTTCAAATATTACCATATATATATATATATATATATATATATATATATATATATATATATATATATATATATATATATATGCACGTTATTTGTTTTAAATTCTTTAAGGGAAATAATATAAAAGTGATAGCATTTTTGTGCTAATGAATTTTAATGATCGACTTTTTCAAAATTATAAATAATCCTTTTCAGACAAGGATGAAATTCTGCAAGAAATTAGCCAAAGTTCATTTTGAAATTCATAACTTGAAAAGGTTGATTACTAAAATTAATCAACATAAGATGTCTGCCATTCTTAATAGTATTTGTCTTAAACACACACACACACATTTTATATATATATATATATTTCTCTCAGGTTTCATGCAATCACATCTTCATGGAAATGAATAAAGAAAGAACAGAATAATTATACTAACATCATTCGGTTAGAGTTGCACAGACTCAAATATGTCTATACATGGCAGGGAGGGGGTGCTCATTTTCTCCATCCCCTCCACTATCAGGATTATTGTTCAGAGAACCCTGCCCCCCAAATGTTATGTTAGTATAAATGATCTACTCCTCCCCTATTCATTTGTGTTCTGTTCGCCTGACAATCAAAGTAGCATGGAACTTGAGTAGCGGTCTGAACCTTATCTCTTTCAGAGTCATTATGCTGGAAGCATATTTGCTCTGTCTTGGTAATTTAGACACATCACTCCTTGGTATTCTTTAGGTAGGTGTCCGTCTGTTGGTCTTTTCTTAGAAGGGAAAAGGAAATATAAACTATCAGTTTTTCTCTTTTTTTTTTTTTTTTTTTTTTTTATTGTCTTTTTCTTTGGTCATCTGACAGGCTTTGTGTTGATTTTACCAATACTGTGTGTGTGTGTGTGTGTGTATATATATATATATATATATATATATATATATATATATATATAAGGAATAAATGAGAATATCTGAATAGTTGAGCATAAATTCTTCTGTCCAACAGTTTATATTCTAAAATCATAGCATATACCAAAACTTCAAATTTTTAGACAATGTTGCCTGTGATGAGAAAAGCATTGATCATTTCTGGTGAGGAGTAGAAATAATTCTTCCTACAATACACAATGCTTCAAGAGCTTTTCAGCACGTTAGCCAAAATACTTATTGTTATAAACATTCTTTTAGTTTTAACTTAATTTCAAATATATACATTCTTTGTTGCAATTTCAAAGATCCAATGAAAAGTTCCAAATAGCAAAAGGGTTTACATTCCTCATCTTCATTGTTATTATCATAACATTCTTGGCCTTCTTCAAGTCATCTGTCAATCCAGGTAACCTTCAGGGAATTTTAAATTTAACCTTTTAATCAAGTTTGTTTTTCTCACTGTTGTCTACCCAACCCAGGGATTGAACTCACAATTACTACATCACTAAATTCAAAAACCAATGCTTTAATCTAGTTAGTCCGTTTAATTCAAAGTCCTTACTTGTATCAACAGACACCTGAAAAAGATTGGGGGGCACAACAGCCAAGATGATGGAATAAAAACAAAGATGAGGATATCAGTCTGATTGTAAATAACTCCTCGTCCCAGAAATTTGGGCAGTAATCAGAAAATTGTTTCAATAACTTCTGAAGAACATTACAGACCTTGGCTAATTCAATGTTTTGCAGTGCAACAACAACAAATATAGCCTCCGCCCCCCCCCACATGCATAGTTGTTGTTAATGTGACATACAAATAAAATTTGTTTCAGTAATCAATAATATAACAGAAACTTATTCAGGGAGCATTACCTATTAAATAACCTGACAATCCTATCTTCATTAATATATCCATATCCCGATGTTGGTGAAAAAAAAATATAAAAAAAACACCTTGTCAGCCCACTTAATGCTTTTCCAATACAGCATGTAGATCTAATATTATACAACAAAAATTTCAGATCAAAATTCAGCTAAGGACCATTTAAGACGGTGGCTTTATTGATGCCCGCTCTCTCTCTCTCTCTCTCACATGCGCACACAAATGACAAGGCAACATAACACGCATCCATAAGTGAACGGACAATATACAGTGGAACCTTGGTTCCCGAATTTCATTCGTTCCTGAAGGCCGTTCGTAAACCAAAATTATTTTCCCAATAGGAATAAATGTAGAGAAAAAAAGTCACAGTACAATAAAATTATAAAAAAAAAAAAAAAAAAGCACGGCACAACACATGAATGTATACAACACGGCAGTCAACTCAGAAGTTATTATGTTCGTGCTAACTTGGTTCAGCTGGTGTTCAAGAAAAAAAATTTTGTTCAACTGAGGCATTTTCGTTTTGAATTTTCTGTTCAAAAACTGATTTGTTCAACATGTGAGATGTTCAAGAACCAAGGTTCCACCATAATTCAATAAATATGTTGCATTATGATGACGAGGTTTATGAAAAAAAAAGGTTGGTAATTTGGAGCATTACAGCAACAAGTGATTAATAATCCTTGGAAAGGAATCTAAAAATATGAGAATTATTACAAAATGTTGATAAGCCACTGCAATGGAGTACATTTGGGAGTGGAGAAGAAATAAAGACTCTGCTACTTAGCTATACACTGATGTTATAAAATGATTTATAGAGACAAAATCAGTGTGAGGAGGGGAAAAAAAAAAAAAAATAATAAAATTTAAAAAAATAAAATATAGAGCCCTGAAAGAAATAAGAGAAATTCATGGTGTCAATTCTCTTGGAAGGGGAATTGATGCTACAAATTCTCAAACTTAAAATATAACCAAATAGTTTTATAATTAAACTTCAAAATTTATCAATTTCTTTGTGAGTTAGACACAAAAAATCATTATCTAACTTTCAACAGAAAGAGTATATAAACAAAAAAAAAAAAATTTTAAAGACAAAATAGGATTTTAAACTTAAATTAAAAACAAAACAAAAAATAGAATGCAGCATGTAATGCTAGACTGATCAGAAACATTTGATTTTATTACACAACTTATTTCCAGACACTTCATTGTGATTGAGAATTTATAGAAGGAAGAACAAATGTGATTGGTTAAGATAGTGTCCTATTAAGTGATGTATTTAAATTTTTTTTAAGTAGGCCACAGGGTACAGAATGATGGAAAAAAATATTAATAGCAAGTGCTTGACTTTAACATCAGATTCATATTAGATGGGGAATGTCCCTGACATGTTTAATTAACAGCAAAGTTAAAGATACTTAAGTCAATTTTTTTTAGACCTGATTGCCTTCAGGATTAGATAAGAAAACAAAAGTCATTTCCAAAAAGGTTCCTATCAAGGCTAGCCTAAGGTTTTTAAAATTCAAATTTTGGTTGCAATAAGAATTTTTATATATATTCCTTAAGTTTCTATGAGAAAAAATGTTTATGCTGTTGGCAATTGTTTAATTCAAAAATAAAATAAGAAACAAAATAAAAATGAAAACAAAACAAACTTGCACTAATGAAAAGTGCATGTAAAAAAGAAAAATTGAGAAGTAGAAACAGTCAATTGCTGATAGCCTCTGACGAGGGGACAGAGTGATTCTTGCAGGAAAACTCTGGAGTCGGGATGCTGAAGGTAACATCAATCAGCTAAGAGACAAACTTTTATTTGTATTAATCCCATATAAACATAATTTTAAGATATGCTATATTTACGGGTAAAAGTGAAA